GTGTATAATCCTCTCTTTGCTTGAAAACCCAGGCATGTGTGTCTGTTTCTGTTCATTGACCCGCGGTGAACACTTCACAGCTTACCCAGAGGCAATTCCACTGGAGGCCCATCAAGGTTTTTCTGTGTCCACTTAGAGTCCAAACAGCTGCCCAGGTTTAGTTAATAGTCTGTGATTATACCTGGAGAAGAGCCAGTTTCTGAGACAGCTGTCTAAGTGAGAGGAGGATTTCTAACTCTCTTCTTGCATCAGCTGCGTCTGGAAGGATAGGCTCAAACTTCTTAGGTGATTTGGACTATTAGTTTTCAAAGTTCACTGAGCTTGAGGTTCCTGTGTAATGTTCCAGTGCCAACTTTATCTGCTGGCATTTGTCTTGCAGGGAGATCCTAGGTTTGATTCTTTAAAGTTTGGTCTTAAAGTTTTTAAGCAGAGCCAGTGTGTTGCTGAGAATCTCCCACAAAGCAATAAGAAACACAGCACTGATGGTTCTGTTGTAAAACGTCACAACTCGTTTCAGCATCATCAAGTAATGACAGCAAGGATTCAGATGGGGGCTCACTCTTGATCCACCAGGAGTTTCAAATGGCAGTTATCATTAAGTCTTGGATTCCCTCAGTCCTGATAGACAATCAAGGCACCCAGAAACTATCATTTTGTGAACAGACAGCTATTAAAAATACATTAATAATCTATAGTGGGTATAGCATATGCCTTTTCAAAAGATTTGCAGCTTGTTTCTCTGTAGTGAAGACACAGGACTTCTCCAACCTAATTACAAAGCAATCAAACAATTTAATTAATCTAGAAATCACTTTCTTAACAATAACAGCTTCTAAAATGTGGCACCCTGTGCAGCGCCATTAGGTGAAGTACCGTTTTGATAAACTGCTTGCGTATTAGCCATGCTCGTTCCCCTTGGGGGTTGTGGAGTTAATTACCTACCCAGTGCCTGACCGCTGCTAGGGTTTACTTTACCAGGTCAGAAACATCAGCAGCGATAGCAGCAGTCTCTAAAGTGTCCTAGCACTCAAACATCCAAGAGCCAGCCAGTCCCCGAGAGCAGCAGGACTGGAGTTATAAGCCAGTGCTGCACATATGGGCAGAGAATTAACTGGCACCAGTTTTCATTTGACAGTCTCTCAGGTATTGCTTTGCAGATGGGTGGATGAATTCAGAGAGCAGTGCTGCGAGGAGTGAAGGTCATGTGTAGGACGCTGGTTTCAGTCCATCTTGCTTTCTCATCCTGGGGAAGCGCTGTGCATGTCCGCAGCAATCTGGTCCTCATCTCTGAGTTAAGAATGTGTAAGTTGTGCTTTATAATTTGATCTATTCGAGGTTAGCAGTATTTCGATCACTGTACAACCAAATAGTATCCCTAAGTCTTCAGAGACCAAGTAGATAACATAGAAATCAATTTTTATTTCAAATAAGAACAAAGACTTCAGAGATTGACTTCTGCTGTCTAATCTGCTAATCTTATAATTTCTCCCCTAAGAAAGATTGAGGAATTCTGTAATAAATGACACAAAAATCTACCAAATACTCATCTGCCCTTTTCCTCTACTATCACTCCCACCCCGCTTGTCTCTCCAAATTCCCTGTTAGTGAGGCAGTCATTCTCCAATCCACCCACATTATCACTTTTAGTCTGTAATCTCTTTCATCACTTGTTTCTAATCTGTCACCAATTATATTTGGTTTGCTCAGCAAAATATCTTTTCTGTTGGCTTTCCACGTCCTAATCTCCTCCTCCTCCTCGGCCACTCCTCTGTCCACCCAGCACACTCAGGCCAGGTTAAAATCTCGACATCTCTCTCCCCTCCAAGCACCCCTAAGGCCTCCCACTAGTTGACACCAGTACATGGAGTTCACAGTGCATTGGCTCTACCAGTCTGAATTCCCTGCTTCTGGAGAGCCTGTCTCTCCTGCATCACCCCTCCATGTCTGGCTTGTTTCTGTCCCCTTCCTGAAATCCATCCATTTCTTCTCTTACCTTAAGCTTGCTGAGCTGCCCTCAAATTAAGCAAATTAGTCTCTTGCCCTTGAGGTATTATGAGGGACTCTAGTTCACGCCACCATCATTTTCTCTAATATCTCACTACATTTAAGAGCCTTTGTAATAATGGGGGATTCGAGGGGCAGGGGAGTGTTTGCTTTTCAATTTAGCTCTTCAATCTGACATGAAACAAGAAGAAAGATCTGTGATTAGTGAAATAAAACGGATGGCTTTGAAGTCTTGAAGGTGAAGATGTGGGAATTTAGGTTTGGTTTTACAGCAGTATAGGAATAGCTGAGGAGAAAATGAGGAGTATTTTCAATTGGTGGGCCTGGGAAGGCAGCACAGTATGGTAAGGCAAAACCCAAAGATTAAAGCTATCCTTGATTTTATTTTTTTTTTTAAGATTTTATTTTCCTTTTTTCTCCCCAAAAGCCCCTGGTGCGTAGTTGTATACTTTAGTTGTGGGTCCTTCCACTTGTGGCATGTGGGGCGCAGCCTCAGCATGGCCTGATGAGCAGTGCCATGTCTGCGCCCAGGATCCAAACCGGTGAAACCCCGGGCCACTGAAGTGGAGCGCATGAACTTAACTCCTTGGCCACAGGGCCGACCCCAGCCTTGAGTTTTTAAGAGCAGAGTTAGCATACCTCCGGATCTCTATCTCTGTTCATTCGTCCTGGAAGTGATGGGTCATCGTGTATTATAAGATGTTACATGGCTTCCTGGGAGCCACCCCTAAAAATCTCTAAAAGTGAAAAGGGTTTTAAGTTAATTCCTTGTTTCTCTCTTCTTCAGATTCTTAAAAATATTTAATAAGCTCTCTGTAGTTGTTCTGGTTGATCTCATTAAAGTCTCCGGATATAGTGTTCTCTTTACAAAGAACACAGGGCTAAGACTTTGGTGCCATGTTTCATTGGTCTTATTATTTATTCTAATTGAATAGGGGAATAGGGATTGTTCTCAAAATGCCTTGGCTTCAAACAGTCCATTGTTTGACTCTCCTAATTGTTCATTTCTCCTAGTAATTTACCAGTAGTCTGTTCTATATGAAGTGTGAGCAAAGTGAATATTTGTTCCAAATCAAAAACAAAATCTACACGAAGATTTCTGGCATTAGATTTGTTTCCCTTCAGAAAACAAAATTGTTAGCCATCTTGAAATTATCAAGACCTTTTAAGGAATATGAAGTGTGTTGTACAAGCTAAGTTGGGGAGGGGAGCGGGGGGAATGAAGGCTGTTGAGAGAAGTCGAAAGAACTTAATTTAGCTGTGTAGCTAAATGGACAAATAGAGTCCCACATGACTGGATGACAAAAGCAGAATCCATTTCTCCAGGGGCCCTAGGAACAACAGATGCAAAGGCATGATAAATTTCACTGCAGCAGGGGGAAAAATGCTTTGTGATTCTCTCTCCATAAAGAAATAAGCTTCTCAGCTTTTCCCAGTTAAACGGCTTTAATTGTGCTGTCTGTCATAAAGTTAATAGCATCTGTTGAAGAAAGACATCACTATAAAATCTGCAACCTTAAGTTAATTGAAAAATTTCAGTAGAGGTATAGCCAGTCCAGAAGTCCTCAAGGTAACACTAAACCTATTCTCTTTAATGTGTTAGGCTAGTTGCACACTGATGATAAACTGTTTACCTTTACAGCTAGGTACTGACTGTAACGTGCAATCTTGTATTCCTTATGCCTAATTACAGTTGTCACTTCCACCACAAAATCAGTAATGTGGCCACTGGCTTGCTGTTAGGGATTAAACGTATCTTTCTGACGTGTTTTCTGTGTTTCAAGAATATAGGGGATTACTTGGCAGCCTTGCCTCACCTCCTTATTTAAACCAGCTGCAGTCCCATCCGGGCCTCTGATGATTCTGCCCATCTAATGAAACATGCAGAGGGAGGCAGGGCGGTCTGCAGTGTCCTGAACTTCCCCGCACCAGCTGCCTGCCGAGCTTTCTCGGTGATCAGCAGCAGGTTGAGTGTTCTGATAGAAAAAGTAACAAGCCCCCAAGAAGTTGCCAACTTATAGTGAGCAATCTGGGCTCCACCCACCTCAGAAGGACTCAGGGAGAACACCCTCTGCCAGCCAGCCTTTGTGTGGCTGTGGCTTTCAAAGGCTGCCTGGCCAGTCACAGCCCAGCTGCTAAGGCACAGAGGGACTATTGACGGAAGTCTTGGTGAGGGCTAAGTTTGCTGGGCCACTCTGGCCGTGCTGAAATAGAGCTGGGTCATTTTAGAAATAGGTCCAAACTGCTGGGTTCTTCCCAGTGTTTTACGACTAGTTCTGACATTTCTACCTTTAAAATGTGTGCTTTGGAATATGAGAATTTATTTTCAAGAACTCAGACTTTAATGTTTCCATAAATAAAAAATACTAAGGCTGTCTCCCCCTCCCCCCACCTCACGTTGAACCATATACTTCCCCATCCATCCTGCTGTCGGAAATGTTAACATCTGAAAGAGCAAGAACCAAAACAGTTGTACAGCCATGTGCCGCTTAACAACGGGAATATGTTCTGAGAAATGCGTCATTAGGCGATTTTGTCACTGTACAAGCATGTGTGCACTTACACAAACCTAGATGGTATAGCCTACCACACACCTAGGCTATAGGGTACTGATCTTATGGGACCACCATTGTATCTGTGGTCTGTCGTTGACTGAAACCTCATTATACAGCACGTGACTGTGTATTTGTTATTCTATAGGACTGAACTATTTAAATTATTGAATATATGGAAGACTGCTGGTTGGTGTTGGAGGTGGATGTGTTTATGCATATATCTTGCACACTTGGAAAGCTGTGCTGGAGCTCACGCGCCCCCCCCCCCCCCCCCCACACACCCTAATCCCTGCTTCAAGTAAAACTAAAACATTTTCCGGGAGATGGACATTTTACAAAAGTGTACAGAAACTTATTACTAAAGAGAAGAAGATTCTGGATGTGGATAATGATAAAAATACAAAAGCATGTTGTAAATTTTTCTCTTCTTTCTCTCTACAGGAAATAGCCCTCAAGATAGTCCAAGAAATTTCTCCCCCAGTGCCTCAGCCCATTTTTCATTTGCACGAAGGTAAGGGCCTTTGGTGAGTGGAATAATAAAGAGCTATGTAGAGAATCCCAGCCCCGCCCCTTCTCCTTTGTGAGGTCCTGCTCCTTGATATCATATAGGACTTTCTCTGAAGCTCCCCCGCCAAAGATAGCTTTAGGCAACTGCAGAACTTTGTTATAAACACTCCTGCTATAACAGTTTTAATGATGATTTCTGCCTCATGGTAGAGTTATCTGTACCTCTCATGATCCTTCAACTAGATGGTGGGCTCCCATGAGGGCAGGAAATGACTGTTTCCATCTTTTCTCGCCTCCATAGTGCAGTGCCTTGCACATGCTTGATGCTCAACAGATTTTTACTGAATTATCTGAACTTGTATTATAAGGACTTGATTTATCTTTGTGTCCTGGTACAATTGGTTTTGTTGTTGTTGAAATACATTTTTTTTAATGGTCTTTCTTGGGATCACAAGAAATAATAAACTCTAAGATGCTCCTTTACTGGAGAGCATCAAGCCAGCAATTTAGTGATCCCCTTGAGATAAAGCCATGTGTGAACTATAGGATGGTTTATGTTATCTCTTCCTTTCCTAGTTAGAAATGGAGCCCAAATATCAAAGATATCTATGTCTCATATCTGGGTCACTGAGTTGAGAAGTGTGGTTGTTGTTCTGAGGATAGTGGGCATGTGATCTAATGTTAAGACTTTTCCGTTCTGGATCATCTGTGGTTTTGCCAAGTCAGAGGAGTCTACACAGGCACCTCTTCTGTGTCCTGCGTGTGGAATTAATCCTCCACCCTGTCATATTCAAACCTTCAGCTTCCTGGCCTCCGTCATCCCTCTCATATATATATATAAATCTACCCTGTCCTCTTCTGCCCAGGGAAAACACAGGGAAAACAAATCTCCAGCTAGGTCTCTGAATATTCAGGACTAATTTGGTTTATGGACTGAATGTCCCAGATCTCTGCTAAATTTTCCTCAGAGACCTAACCATACCTTGAAGTAGATTAAAATAGCACTTAATAAAGACACAATGATAGGTTTAAAAAAAATAGATTTAACGATGCTGCTAACTACCAAAGCCTGCAGTGTCCTCATAGCTTTTTGTTTAGTGTTTTATATTGCTAAATCCAGAGAAAAGGATCTGTTTGCCACATTTCCAGAATTCTCAGGAAAGCTTCCCTTGTAAACATCACACATTGCCCACCATATGGTAGATGCCCACGTGTGTAAGGGGCCGGGCCTCCACCACGGGAAGGGCACAAGAGTAATTAAGATGTGCTCTCCAAGGAACTTCTTGAGACCCACACGCTGATTTTCCCCAATTCCAATTTTTATTCTTTTAGTCCTCATTTTAAGCACTGTAAAGAAATGTGAAAATTAACTGATCTTACAAAGCCTGTGTTTGTCCAATGACTATTAATTCATGATGGTGCTAGTATTCTAAGTGAAAAAGAAAATATTATAAAAATTGATAAACAAGAGCTCACCATAGTCTTTAAACACAGCTCTTTAAAAAAAGCGAATGCATTTAATTACTTTAAGTAGTAAGAAAAAGGCAAATCTCATTACAGCATGCATTTAAACATGACAGAAATCATAGTCTCTTAATCCTATCAGATTTATAAAAATGAAGAGAATCTAATAATTAAGTAGGTGACTGGAGGACAGACGAATCTGGTTTCTATGCTATAAAAAAATACACAACTCCCCAGGCATGTTAATTTTTGACAATAAACCATAAACCGTGACAGAAGATTATCACAGGAGACCTCTAGTTCATTTTGCATGAATTTCCAGATGGAACTCCCTCCACACTCTTCAAAAAGTATTAATTTAGATTAGGACGTGAGTGATCATCTATTTAAACTTTTATTCATGTAAGCAGAACCCTGTATTTGCTATGAAAACTCAAATTGGCATATTTTTATTTAACATCTGGGGTCTTTCTTTTCCATTTTAAAGTTGATTTTCATTCAGGAAACAGAAATTTCACTCATGGGTTTCCATTTCCTTCCATTTGGTATGCATCTCTGAGCCTTTAGGAAGTAACGCCATTTTGAGACTCCCACATTCTAATATTTTGTGTATTTAGTCCAACAGAGGAGAGATTGCCCTGTTTTAAAAATTATTCTTGGGTGAAGGGATAAAGTTAAAGCTTAGTAATCTTTTCTGATTTTACTTATGCCGTGTGATAACACTCCCCCAGTAGACTTCCCCTGTATGTGATAGCTTAATTTTATTCTGGAAAATAGGACAACACACACTTGCTTTCCATACTATCTAATACATATTTGAGAGTAAAATCATCAAGTTAACTTTTTAATATTGAGTTAAAATAATAGGATGAAAATGAGCGTGGTAGTATAGCAGATTTTGTCTGGAGCAAGGAAACATATTTTTCCTTTGCTAATAACTGTGATAGATTTACAATCCATCTCATTGTGGAGTTCCTTAAGGTTCTTTTCTTGGTCGTAAGATGGGCATCATAATGTTGTTCTGCCTTTCCCACAAGTTGCAAAGGTTTCTGCATTATAACTTGCTTTCACTTTCATTGAAAATATAGAGCCCTGAAAATACGCCATGGATGTCTCCTAGTTGCCTAGGTGATATTTACCAGGTTAAATCTCAGAATATGTTTTCACAAGCAAATTACCAGAACAAACTTGCCTGCTGGTTTCGGATCATCAGACAGTTGTCGAGTTCCAGTGGGCAGAATTACTCTTTAGTTGGTTACATTATATTAGTATCATTCAACTTGTTCCAGTACCAGCTGGAATATAAAATGTATCACGCCAGGTGACTATGACAATTAAATAAAGAAATCTACTTCCTCTTTATATAGTTATAATAGCCAGGTTGATGTGGGGACTTTTCCTTCTTTCTTTCTTGTATACCATATTAATCTGAAGTTTTGTGAGTGGTATTGTAATGATGTTTTTTTGCCAATCTCTTTGTATCCTGTGTTCCCATCAGGTGTTTTTCCCTTCTTACTTTTTCATTTAGTGTAACATTGATATTTCCACCCACAAAGAAAATACTCTTTTCAAAAAACCTTGTTTTGGCAAGAATGTAGTCTTGCGTTCAGATAACATTTTATTGATAGCTACTGCAAAGAAAAGACAACATTATTATTGGATCCAAATTGCACTTGTGTGATAGCTTTCTTGAAAAAAGGGCATGCTCTTCTGTAAGTACTGTATATAGCATATATAGTAACTCCTTATGTGTGGTTGTCATGGTAATGAAAATGCAATGGTCCTATGTGCTCCATTTGAGTAAATAGACACGGACAACTTAAGGAACCTTATAAAACATAATTTATTTCTGGTCTGTGGCTACACAGAGTACTGAACACATTCTTCTTTAAACACCTTTCTAGTTGTGTGTTTTCTGGAGTAAGCAAATGTAATTTATGCTTCAGAACTAATAAGAGCATGTCTCTTCTTGAAATTGTTCATTCATCTGAAATATGTTTATTGATACCTGAGGGAAAGGAGAGCTAATGAATCACAAAACGAAGTCACAGAGGGGGAAATTGTGTCCCTCACTCTTTCCAGAGACTAGTTTCTGATAATTGCTATTAAATGGACTGAATAATTCATTTAAAATCATATCCTTTTTTTTTACTTTTAAATATTGGAGGTGTTTATAAAGTACAGGCATGAGTTTTTAAGTCTTTCATAAGTAGCCAAATAAGGCCAATCTGTGTCTATTTAATTGATAGTCAGATGTCTTTATATGCATGTTATTATAATTATTTTCTTCTTAAATCTTTAACATTTTCAATTGTTTAAAAGTATTTTTAAAGACTATATGGCTTAATTCTCCTCATTCATTTTATCTGATCTATTTACAAACATCTTATTTCGCTTCTTTTTTTAAAAACATACTTGAATCAATTGTACTTCAATCATGGTCACAGAAATGACAGGTAAATTTTATTAAAATCTTAACGTTGTAGTACTTCTGTGCTTTGTCCACTTGAATTTCTGCATTTGTCTTTGTGGACCATTTGCATTTATTAGACGCAACATCTATGGTAGCCTATGATTATATTTTCCCTTGAATGTAATTTAGGCTAAAATGTCAGTTTTTTACGTGAACATCTAATTGTGACATTTCTCAACTTCAAGTCTAATGCTATTGAATTCTCTGACTTCAACTTATTATGAATATGTCTGTACTAAATTTGGTCCATTCTTATCTCTCACTTGGTAAATTAATGTACTCATGAATTACAGAGTCTACGTATGATACTCCATCTAAGAATGCACTATAGCTCTTTATAAAGTGTGTTTTTTCCATTTTTCCCCCTTGGCAAATGTGCATGTATTTGTCTTTGCAACGTCATGTGATTTTGAAGACACAGTCTTACTCGAAATTGCTGGAAATTCTCTGGAAGGCCAGAGATTTCAGAAAATTTGCTTTCTTCTGTCCCCTTCTCTTGGCGACAGTATGATCTCCACTACTTCATTAACTCTTCTGAGGCCCTTGTAATGACCTGAATTCAAAACCCAGAAGCTACCCATTCTGTCATCATTTGGAGATACAAACCGCTCTCTTCAAGACTCCTCACAGCTTTGCCTCGATGACTGGGGCAGACAGCTCTACTCTTTGCATTAGCTTCTATCACTAGTGGAGAATTTTCATTCTGCCCCTGCTGTCACTGCCCAGAACTGGGCTTCATAGTCATAAACCCTACCAGAGGCTTTTGCTGCAACGCTTTATAAAGCCAGGTCATGTCAGAAGGCAGGAACTCTTAAGAGATTCTGAGCATAAGGTCAGTCGCTTTCCTAGTGCTGAAGTTATTTGCCACTTAAGGCTTGAGCCAGCCATGAGCCCACTGATCCCTTCTTCCCTAGGTGTGCTGACTGGAACTATTCCCTTGAAAATAATAGGCAGAAGGTCTTTAGGATGCAGTGGAAGTCCCCACAGGCTCTTGTACCATGCTGGGAGTTCAGGCCTTTCCAAAGATCATGGCCCCAGTTATCAGTTTCCAGATAAGAGTGGTTTTCCTCCTCCCGTTCTGTTTTTATTCATTTGAATCTGCTGAGTCTGACCATTGTAATTATCCCTGGTATTCATTTTGTCAAAGTGTGTTAGTGAGAGATCAATAATATGGATCAACCCATTCACTTTCTACTTGTTTGGGTGTATTGATTCAGTTTAAATAAAAGTCAACCTGCTGTATAATGTTTGTTTACCCTAGTCCTTGCTGAGCATTGCCATATCCTCACTGACTGTTTGTGTCGATCGTTTGACTGAGAATACTCGGTCTCCCTGGGGTTCCGGGGTAACAGTACTCCAGTGTTAGCCTAAGCTAATCTCCCTTTCTCAATAGGACTGATGGACGCCGCTGGTCCCTGGCTTCTCTCCCCTCCTCTGGCTATGGGACAAACACGCCCAGCTCCACGGTCTCGGTAAGTGCCTGACTTCTTTCCTCTCCCTCACAACCACAGAGTTCTTACACAGGCTGCGTTTTCTCTGGGTGTTTCCTGGTAGGAAGGAGAAGATAAATTCTGTGTGTCTGCCGCTCTGAATAAGTTACATGTCAAATGATGAGCCGACAAACATAAAAAGGACATACTTTTGCTTCAAGCTTTTAAACTCTGGTGCACAAATTGAGTAAGTCCCACGATCACAAGTTTGGAGAAGATTGGGAGCTTTTGTTTTAATACCATTTGTTGTTTTGGGGGGAAAATGCAATCTGGTTTCATTGCATTGGTTCCACGCCAGTGAGATTAGTACTGAAAATGCCATTAAACTTTGATGGCCTGGGTCTTTTTTTCTTGTGTGGCTTAGATGCAGGGTTTATTTATTTTGGCAAGCCTTAAATTTGTCTGTGACTTCTAGGTAAGAGCTTTAAGGAGAGATTAAAAGAACTTAGTAGTACTTAAGATAAATAAAGAGACAAGATGAAACCATGAAAATGGAATAGAGGAAGAAAGATACTCTTGCCCCAAACTGTAACAGTTCAACAAGAGCCCTAGCAATTCCTGGAAATGATTCAGTAGGTTAGATATATGCTTTCTCAGTTAAAGTGGTGAAGTTGTTGGATATCTGTCTCTGCAGAGCTTTAGAAGTCAGTGGTCATTTAGAAAGATCTGGTATATTGTAGGTGTTCAATGGATACCTAATGGAGTGGTCTGAATGCTCTTGTACCAGCCAGGAATGGGGACCTGATGATTTTAGAGCCCCTTCTGATTCATTTTCGTCTCCATTTTGTCAAACTCTCTGGTTTATTGTGTAGGGCTATCCAGCTCTTGTTGCTTCTCACAGACCCCAGCGCTGTGCTAAGCCTATAGATTCAGCCACTTAATAATACTTGACTTGAAAGAAACTATAGTTAAATTTATGAGCTCAACCTGGTATCTCCACTGCCTTACATTTTGTATTTCCAGAATTCTAGACGCAGTATAGTGTGGGTTTTCTACAGCACCTTTAAAACTGACTTGTTAAAATCTGCTGGATTACTTTTACCATCTCCTCATAGTATTTTACTGAGGAGAGGTAATTTGTTTTCCTGTCCATTATTGCATTTTGTTGTGGTATGTCGGTTTTTTGTTCATTTAGATCATTTTTGGGAAACATCCTGACATCCTTGAGTAGTTTCAGTGGCGCACCAGCCTCACATAAGGAAAGGATGCTTAAAACTCCTCAGTGGCTTCAGGGGATAAAATTGTCACTGAATAACAGTAAAGTCACCGTTGGTTATTGTGTCAGTAACCATCATTGGTTATTGACCCATATTTTAGATGTTGAAAATATGGACAACCACAGTGTGAAAACGAATGCTAAAACTGATTCACCAGAAAGAAAAAAAAGTAACTGTCTAAATTTTAATTATTGTTCTTCCCGGACTCTTCGGCATCTCCATGCTCAAAATTTATTTCTTCTCTTGAATCCAAATTCTTTTTTATTTCAACTGTACCACCTTGCTTTACCCTTCAGTCAAACTTTATTATAGTTTGAATACAGAAATTTCTCTTTGGCAAGAAAAATGGGGGAGAGTGCAGGATCTTTCTTCTTTCCATCTCTAACTAGTAAATCATATACCATTTTAAAAAGTAAATCTATAAAAAAAGGGGTGAGCTATATAGAATCAGACCTCGTCTGATACAAATAATTTTAAAAAACAATTTTTGGATAAACATTTATTATGTGCTAGGCACTAGTCTAACTACTTACAATACATTGGCTCTTTTAATCCTAGCAACATAACCGTATCAGGTGGCTGCCATTATTTTCTTCGTTTTATGGATCAAAAATGTGAGACAAAGAGAATAAACTGAGGGGCTGTTTTCCAAGCCCCTTGTTTTACCAATAAGAATATAGTAAGTGGTCTAGACCCCGGGCCCTTGGCTCTTTTTAAGGAGTTTACATGGTATTTCTTAAAACATACTTTATAATGAATAAGCCTGACCTGGCCATCTGTCATAATGGAATCATTGCTGTCCTTGACTTCCATACGTGCCTAAAAGAAGTCTCTTGAGACAATTGCTAGTCACACACACATATTCTGTGTTTCTAACAGCTTCTGACCAAAGGTAAGACAGCTTTTCTCTGGAGTATTTATTTTATTGAAGAAGATGATGTCATGTAATTGTTGATCTCATATTCCTATTTTTCCCTTCAAAATGAAATTTTAGCTTTCAAAATTACTCTTTTTGCCAAAAGACATAAGGAACTGTGAAATTTGTGGAGTATAGGTGCCATTGCACAAAGTTCAGCTATCTTTTCTTCTTGTTGGTTTTTGATAGAAATGATGAGCAAAAATTTGAAAAGCTATTTCTCATTTCCTTCAGTTTCTTTGTGTTCTTGTCCTGTAAATATTAGGGCAGAAATTGTGCAAAACTGCTTAGTAGTTGCATTTTCTTCTTTTCTAAGTCTAATCTGAATCACTCTTAGATTCTCATTTTCTGGGTTAACTATTAATCATTCGGCCGATCAGAAATGCATTTTAGTTATTTTCTAAATAAAAATACAGAATATGTGCAAATAAAATTACAACCACTTTAAAAATATAGCTTAAGTTTTACAGATGATTGTGTTGTTAGCTGAATTCCAGGACTGCTCATGTTGAAATGCAAACTCCAGGTCTTTCTCCTTTGGATATTATGGAAACTGCAAAATTGGCAAGTGTTAAAAATGCTGTGTTCTGAAATTGGAAACATTTGGTCATATGAAGTTAATCATTCCTTCCAGAGAATATTCAGTATTGCAACTTCTTTTAACTTCAAATTTTGCTCAGATTATAATTTTTAATCTTAAGTAATATGGATTTGCAGCAGTGGGAGGACATTCCTCCATATATTTCTTACTAGAGAGATGATTTTCTGCTGAGGGAAAGAATGGAAATAAGAATATAAATATCTAGAAATATGTGGTATGGCCATAAAATGATATTACTTTTAATAAATAACAAGTAGAAAATTATGCATGCATATGAGTACTGTCCTTTACAAAATGGTTGTCTCGAGAGACTAAGTGCTTGTTTGAATGATATCATTATTCATAACAGTTTTTGGAACTCTTCTCATTGCCTTGAGAACTAGCAGCACATTGTTTTGTATAAATCTTCACTCTCTGGAAGTGGGTTTGATTTATGATATAGTCAAAAGTCGTATGCAAACGAGTTGTGTGATGAGACTCACTGGCACCATACTTAGAGAACATGCTAGAAATATAAAGTAATGAGACTCAGTTTATTGGGAAAGTCCCAAACTCATTCTTGAAACTCTTGTGAAAGTGGTATTCCAAGATGTTTGGACGAGTGGAGCTGTCCTTTCAGTAAGTGCGTGAGGCCTTGCGGACAGCCCCTGGAGCCTCTGCTGTCCTGGCAGCTCGCTCCGCTGGCGCTGCAGGTCCTCCGAGTCCCTGACCTCGGCTGAACCTGAACCTTGGGCTTCTCTGTTGTGCAATGTCAACTCACTTTTAGGGCCCCATTTGACGCCTTTTGAATCCCCAGGATGCTTTGCTGGCCTGCACTTGTTCCCAGTGCTGTAGACCCGTCCTGGTGTCACTTGGGTTTGGTGTCACCCTGTTCTTCTTTATACCTTGCTTGTTCCAACTGAGACGAAAGAAGCTCTCTTCCCAGGGAAGCTCCTTGCCTCCTCACTTCTTTAATACTGTGAAGGTTGTAATGCTTACTTAGACCACTGCATCATTCAGTTTAACATCCTCCCCGTCAGTAAGCATGGGGCACCTTCTTTGTGGAGGTCAGTTATGTGGCTATATATATCGTGTAACCACAGTATTCTCTTCTTAGAGTTAACACATTAGCATTTTGTTACGTTTGCTACAGCTATTTTTAAAATGCATTTTTATTTTGTTTAGTAAATGTTAAAGGTACCGCTAAAGCCCTTCCCACCCAGTCCCTTTATCCTCACTCCCTTCACAGAGGGAGCCACTCTCCTCAAGTCTCTTAGTGTCGTCCTCGTGCAAGAACAGGTCCATAATACCTCATGTGAAACTCTGGAGCCTGGGATGTTTTGGAATTAATTTTCACATTTTAGAAAGGTAACATGATCTCCATACTGTACATAACAGCCCAGTTATGTACATAACAGCAAAACATAGCTCTGCTTTGTAGTTATATTTCTCAGATGGACTAAAAGCAGTGTTATTTAGCCATTCACCTTTTCTACCTTATCTTTCTCCAAGGATTGAGCAATAGTTTTCAAAAAAGCAAATCTATACCCAAGGAATAAAAAACTTCACCACCACTAAAGCTGTTAAAAAGAAAAAGGTGGGGCTGGCCCGGTGCCATAGTGGTTAGGTTCCCGTGCTCTGCTTCGGCGGCCCGAGGTTCATGGGTTTGGATCCTGGGCGCGGACATACACGCCACTCATCAGGCCACACTGTGGAGGTGTCCCACATACAAAATAGAGGAAGATTAGCACAGATGTTAGCTCAGGGACAACCTTCCTCAGACACAAAAAAGAAAAAAGTAGTCTTAGCCAAAGAAGAGAGGGAAAAAAATTCCAACTATTTTAAAACAATGGCGTCATTCAGAAAAATATCTTCTTCTCTTCTCCTTTATACCCAGGGCACATATCGATGGCAATTGCATCAAAAGATAGCATGCTTCGTAAAGAGAGATCTCATTACTTTACTTATGATCACACATTGTAGAATTCATTTCATGTTACTTACCTAAAAGTCACAGTGTTTGATTGTGAACAGCAGTAGAAGTGAGGGAACCATAATCAGTTGAGAACTAATCTGTCGTTTAAGGCACCCAAATTCTCATTCCACTTGTCGCTTTCTTCCTTTGGCTTTGACTGGGTCCTATCCATTTTCAGAGCCTGTGTTTTCTCCAGATAGAAAACTATCTTTTTGGGAAATTGTTTTATAGACAAATGAGATGAACTATGGAAGCCAGTTGACCACCCAGGGAAAACATCAAGGTATACGTTTAGGCACTAGTTATCGTAATTATAACATGAAAAAGGAACAATATAAAATGGTGGTACATCGAAGTTTAGTGCTTTGATCGCAGATTCGTTATTCATCTGAAGAATGTCTTTTTGAGGTAGTCATATAACTTCATTTCGGTTTCTTTTAGTCATCCTGTTCCTCCCAGGAGAAGTTGCATCAGTTACCATACCAACCAACGCCAGATGAATTACACTTCTTATCGAAACATTTTTGCACAACTGAAAGCATCGCCACGGAAAACAGATGCAGGAACACCCCCATGCGCCCCCGTTCCCGAAGCCTGAGGTGTGTAGAGCTGCTTGAAAAATGTTACTTAGTTGCATTATCTCTTTTCAACCATTTCAAGGGAAGACTTCTGGTCCTCTGATTCACACATGTGTTAAATGATTTGTGAACTGCTATAAATATAATGCGATTTTTCCATCTACACATGATACTGTTAATTACCATTCAAAGGCATCTTATTAATTTTCTTCTAAATTCTCACAATTTGCTAATTGCTGTAGTGTCAGTAGTCACGACGGACTAAAGGGACCACCGATAAAACCTTCTAGCCATTGAAAATTTCAAGATAAACTAATTAGGATGCAAGAGCAGTTAATATTTTAAGAGGGAGAAGCTTGGCTGCAAAAGAAGAATAGCACATTCAGATTCAGATGTGGAATTCAGATGCCACTTTTTAAAAACCCAGATCTTTCAGTCTGTCTTCTCATCATAAGTCCTACTTTCTCCAGAAGTTTATGTCCCTTGAATTTTGTGGATGCCAAATGTTGTCCATTTGACCCTGAGTACAGCCAGTTTTATTTTGACCGTGTTTCAAAAAATGATACATATCACAGTTTGGTTCTTCAGAAAGCAGAGTCTAAAACAGAGATCAGGATGTTTATTAGGGAGGGCTCGGGACCAACACCTGTGGAGGGGAGAGGAGGAAAGGAAGCAGGATTGGTCAGAGGGAGAAATCTAGCTACAGTACAGACCCAACAGCTGCTTCAGACCCCACAGCATTCTCTGGGGATGACATGACCCATCAGAGTTATCCCTCTGGGCCAAACGGCCCTTCCTTTGTAACCCACCTCAGTCACTGGATGTAGTATCCTGGGAAGGATGTGGCCTTGAGTTAGGTAACTCTGCCACTGAGGCCATGCCTGAAGAGACTGACAGCTGAAGGCTCCTGTAGTCCCAGCAGCTGGGACAACAGGTCCTTCTCTGCAGGGGAATCAGGGCAGCCCATCTCCAGGTCCACTGCAGTATGAGATCCTGATGCTATAGAATTGGTGTACTTTGATATATTAAGGCTTTATTGTAAAAAATAGTTGGTCAGATGTTCAGTTGAATATCAACATTTACTGAGAAGGGTTTCCCCTTTGTACCTTTCTTAGTATCATAAACTGATAGTAAATATAGCCATCCTGGGTAATTGTGAGATGTGTTAGATTATTTGGAAACATGGATTAAAAGACCAATTATACAAATTGATTTAATGGCATTATATTTTATCACTCAGGTGCCCTTTTAGGTTTTATGAAAGCAGTTCCTAGGATATCTAGTGCAAGCTATAACCTCCTGGGAACATGAATATTCACACTGAAGTTGCACAACTGTATACCACTAGGAAGGAGGGTGAACCTACTGCCACAATAAAGATAAATGCACAACAGCTGCCTGCCTCTGTTGTGCGTTGTCCGCAGTGCCTACCTCAGCATCCTAAATAAATGTTTGCTAGGCTAGAAAGTGGATTTCAGTGGTGACACCTGTGCCATGGAAGACTCTCAAACCTCTTGAGTGGCACGTGGCAGACTGCAGGTGTATGATGAAAGTGTGAAATTACACCAGTCAATGCGTCCTGGGTCTTGTTGTGTGTGACTACCCTGTTTTATTTTATGGTACTTCATTAGTTGGTTCCCAGAACTGCACAAGTGCATGCTACATACAGAATATAATTTCAATTTAAGAATGTATTGTGAACTAGTTTTATCTTATAACTGTAATTAATTAATGGCATTTCTCTTTTGGAGCTTTCTTTCCTGAATCCTATTCAGGGCATCTCTGTGTTTCTGGGTATTATGTGTACTCGTGTACTAATGACTGATTTTGTAGTTTATTACCTAATATACTTTTCTTACAAAGGTTGCATAGTACTTTTGATGCCACCAATTGTTTATAAATAAAAAGCTTATTTCCATTTCACGCTGTAGCAAGTTTAGAAGGCTAATTTGCTTCTCTTTGCAGCCCTGGACGTTCTCCCGCCTGCTGTGACCATGAAATAATTATGATGAACCATGTCTACAAAGAAAGGTTCCCAAAGGTAAGAAATCGAATTGAAGATTCCTAGCATCTAAACAAACAGCAACATGGGGTTAGCATCTGTAAGGGGGTTTTGTTGTGGGAAGTAATGGTCCAACCCAGTAGTGGCTTGCATACAACAGCACCGTAGCTTGCTTGGAAAGATAAAATCTCTAAACGTTTTTAAAAACTGCTGAGAACTAGCCACACTCTGTGTGCTGAGCCAGCTGTACAGTGAATCCTGCAGTTGTAGCACCCACTGGGGGGCCTGGTGAGGTGCTACAGGGAGAGCGGCTCTAGGCCCACGCGCTCCTTGTGTCCATGTGCTGGGCCTGCTGCTGTATTGTCAGGCAGAGACTAATTTCTTCCTCAAAAGCCTGTAAGACTGGTATGTCACGAAAGCTTTTTTTTTTTTTTTTTACCTAATTTTTCTTTTCTGCGACTTCCTATCCCTTTAGCAATTATATGTCTAAGCCTATTAATTTAGAAGAGAAGCTTCAGTTGCAGTGTTCCCCATTAGACCAGCAAAAGGAATTTGAATTGAGCCAGAGAGGACTTCGTGAAGATTGTTGCCAGACATCCTGGCTGCACGGAGCTGCTGTCGGATAGCCCAGTCACCTCGTTTCCATGGCTTTTCCACCAGCGTTCCTATGCATTTGGGAGAAGGCGCCCTCTCCATTTTGTTCCCTTTCCTCCCCTACTGCCTTTGTAGCCATAGGCAAGAGAACAAAAGGAAATCTTTGGTTTCATAAATCAAGAGTAGAGGACTTCTTATTTGTGGTGAACCCGACATTGATGTCATTGGTTAAAGCCATTTTAGCTATTTCTTACATGTCACTTGTCCACCAGAGGAACAGGTCCTGACTATACTAGTTAATACTGGTTAGGACTTAGAGGGGAGCAGGAGGCAGAGGGAGTCTCCCCTCATAAACAATTAATGGAAGCCAGGAATTTGGTTAAGCATTAGGGGATCACAGGAATGAAATGAAAACTGGAAAGGAAATTTTAGATTTGTGTTACCAAGGAAATCCCTTGGGCCTTTTGCACATGAAGAAGTTTTTTGAGAAAAAGTTGAAGTTGGTAAGATACTTGTTCCTGGTACATTAAAACATAGCCAAGAAAACAAACTCTTGGCCCCCCCCCGTGTGTAACTCTAGCAACAGTCCTGATATTTGAATAGGTAAAAACAGAGCTATTTGGTATTTTTGATGATCTATCTGAAAAAGCCCAGGATCTGAAATGAAAGCCTAACACTTCACCAGATATTGAATTATTTGAAGAAACTTACATGGGCCAATTTATATTTGATAGGGCATAGAAAAGAAGTAATTATCACCCTGGGTTATTCAGTTTCCCTTATATACCTCAAATCTTTCTTCCACATGGTGAGGCTTCTTCCTCTTCTTCTTCTTTTTGTTTTTTCAAATAGACTTTATTTTTTAGAGCAGTTTCAGATTCACAGCAAAATTGAGCAGAAAAAATAGAGCATTCCCAAATACTCCCTGGCCCCACATACACGCACACAACCCCCTGCCATCAACGTCCCCCCCGCCCCCAGAGTGGTCCATTTGTTATAATCGATAAACCTAACTGACACCTAATTATCACCCAAAGTCCATAGTTTGTTTACATTAGGATTCACTCTTGGTGTTGTACATTCTGTGGGTTTTGACAAATATACCATGACAATTATCCACCATTATAGTATCATACAGAAGTGAGGCTTCTTTCAAATTTGATTTCTAGACTTCTATTTAATAATTTGTGGAGGTCCCTGAAAATGCAAGATGAATGTGATGATTGAGTTGTCCACATGTCTACTTCCTGTATTACATCTGTGTGTGCGTGTCTGCTCTCAATAGGCCACGGCTCAGATGGAAGAACGACTAAAGGAAATTATCACCAGCTACTCTCCTGACCATGTCCTTCCCCTTGCGGATGGAGTGCTCAGTTTCACTCACCATCAGATTATTGAACTGGCTCGAGATTGCTTGGATAAATCCCACCAGGGTCTCATCACCTCACGATACTTCCTTGAATTACAGCACAAATTAGATAAGTTGCTACAGGAGGTATGGGTCATACCCCATGTAAAGTTTTCTGATTTGTTTTGCTTTTCCTCTGAAAAGAGAAAAATTTTATGAGAGCATTTGCTTAACAAGTTTTAACCATGAGATGTAGTTTGTATTCCAGCGAAGCGAAGAAGAAAAAAAAGTTGATTGCTACTTGCTATAAATTGATTCTGGTCATCATTTATAGAAATAGAAAGTTAATGTAATAACCTTTACAGGAACCTTGGGACCCAACAATCTCTGGCTCTAGGATAAGTGGATTGTGAAGGATTTTGAAGCAGTGGTTTTTTTCCCCCCACAACCATAAAGTTATAAATTGCCTGAGTGTATGTGCGTTATTTGATGATGCTATCTAGTTCTAATATCTGCAAAAGCTAAGTGGAAAATTGCTAGCTTCTTCCAGGCCTTGTGTCCTATTAATTAACCTGCATGTGGTGTTGGGTAGTAAATGGCAACTTATATTTTCATTAGTGTCAGTTCTTCTTCTAACAAAATATCCAATTTCCAATATGACAGATAAACACAGGACCTGTCTAGGTCTAACACTTGCATGCCTAGCTCCTGATAACACCCAGGACAGGAAGGGAGTGTGTATGTTGGTATGGAATTAGTGGGTAATATTGCTATTCTGACTGAAATTGATCAGCCACAGCCTACAAGGAAAACCTCTTTAGCCTATATATTTGGATATATGGTATTTCTGTATCTCATAGGGCATAAATTATGCCCATGTAAACATAATCGAAGGTGGTTTTCTCTAAGCATGAATATGTAAGTAATTGCATGGAACTGAAGGAAAATATTAGCATCCTGGTTTTCTAGAAATCCATCTGTCCTTGCTCCTCCGGAATTTAGTTGTGGCAAGATAAGAAGGTCCCTCTCTGGCTAGCAGCCACTGTTTTTTCCCTTTCCCATGGAAACCTCCCAACGGGGTTTTCTATACTCTGTACCCACTTCTCACATTTCAGCCTATTGCAGTCCACTAAGGTGGTGTTTCTCAGGCTATCTTTGGGGATGAACACATTGTTTTGGGGTTTTATTGTTAATTTCCAATTTCTCATGGATCAATTCTCCTATAAATTAAAGTGAAAATTAATTTACAGGAAAATGATCATGCATTTGGGTCTTCCAGCAATATCAAATTGCTATAAGAGTTGCTAAATGTTTACTCTCAATAACTGTGCTTATCTCATCACAAACTATTAAAAGTTCATGAACTGGCACCGGTCTTCTTCGGACCACACTTTGAATAGCACGGCACCAGGACATAGTGTCTAGGTGGGCAGGGATACTGTCTGTTTTGTTCACCTAGGAGAGGGTGTGACACGGAGAGGGACTCACTAAATATGTGTTGAATAATTGGCTTCTGACTGCCTCTCACAAAACCCACTGATGGGAGTTCAACTCCTCCCTCCTATTCGATAACTACTACCTAACTCAGACCCTCATCCTCACTGGTCTACCTCCCTCCAGTCCTAACCCCTCAAATTTATACTTCTTCGCTGCTGCAAGAACATCTATCTAACATTCTTTAGTGGCTCCATTCTGCCTAAAAGTAAAAGCCATAATGTGGCCCGTGGCTGTACTCTCCATCTCAATGCATTTAACCACAGCACATTGTAATGATCTGTTTTGGGGCCTTGCTTTATCAGCATACAGTGGGCGTTGTGAGGTACAGAGATCATGGCCAAATCATCTCTAACTCCCTGGTGCCTGGCATCATGCCTGGTATTTATTGATTCCTCAGTAACTGGGAAGGAGGGGGGAGGAAGATGCATATGTATGCAAGCCAAAATATTTGATCTATTACGATTTATCATCAAGTAATCTAGTGCTACTGTTCCTTTTAATCAAATCAGCTTCTGGAAAATGCTGGAAACACTACGCATATTACTTTTTATGAGAATACCTTGAATATTATAATAAACCAGTCATTTTTAAACAGAAGAGGCAAATAAGAGAGGAATTCTCTGTGAGGGAATTCCACAGTTCTGTCCCAGAATATTACCATAATTACCAGCTTAGTCCTGGGTTTTTTATTTCTTCCTAGGCACTCCCTGAGAAGGGTAAAATCAATATCAAATCTATTTACATTGAAATCTCCCACTTGATTTTGTTTCTGTATGGTAGACTTTGCAGATTGTTTCATGGCAATTAAAAGAAAAAACCCTAAGGTTTCAAAGATCATCTGAATAGGCCATATAATAGATACAAAATTGTTGATTTTTAGGGAAATTTCTCTTTGGGGCGGAGAAACATGTGTGCTTGTGGCCCAAAGGGCATTGTTGGGTATGAATTAGAATGTCTTCTTGTTTATCTTCACACGTAAACATTTCCTTCAGTCCTTTTGTGAAAATTAAAACTATCTTCAGAATCGCATTTACAACGTCCTTCCAGAGTTTGGAGCTAACAGGTCACAGGGGCACTTATGAAAGCATTTATCTGGAATTCATCTAGACCTCAGAACCTTAGCCCCTTTTGCAAAGAGTGGAGTTGTGGGAACTTGCTTTGTCTTTCCCATGATGCAGTTGTTGTCACTTCCCAGCTGTGACATTGTGTGCCTGCCCAGCGTGTCTCCCAGCCACTTTTCTCTGTTGTCAATCTTTTGCATAGCCAGGCCAGGGTCCCCCTGACGTGGTTTGAGCAGCTAGGTGCCTTTTCAAAGTCCTGAGGTCTAGGCCAATTCTAGATAAATGCTTTTATGTCTCCATTCTTTTTTTCACTTAGGTGTATTTAGCCAAAGAAAATAAAATACATAGAAAGCTATAAGCTACTCTTAAATCTGAGTCTCAGTATTTATTTATCTCTTTATTCGTTTATTTATTTTTGTGAGGAAGTTGACCCTGAGCTAACATCTGTGCCAGTCCTCCTCTATTTTGCTTGTGGGTCACTGCCACAGCAAGACTTGATGAGTGGTGTAGGTCCGTGCCTAGGATCTGAACCTGTGAACTTGGGCTGCCAAAGCAGAGTGCACCAAACTTAACCCCTACGCCACCAGGCCAGCCGCTGAGTCTCAATATTTTTATAGTCGCCAACACTTAAAATACCAACACAGGGAATCCATGAGTGTTGGAGCTTGCTGCTGGCAGCCTGGAAACTTTCCCTTCTTAATGTGTGTGGGTTTGCTTGGTGTTGTTTTAACAAAGCTCCTGTCCACTCCTAATGATAGTAAGTAAAATAGTACTGGCGTTAGTGTAACTCCCATGTTTTGGCCTTTGTTGTGGCTGATAATCCCTAGAAGTAAGAAGTTGGAATGAACTGATTATTTTTACAATTTTTGGAATGGAATTTGAATTATCTAAACTATTTTTAAATTTTTTAACGTATAGAGTCCTTGTTTCCCTTTGTAGAAACCACTAAAACATGTTCAGTCTTTCCCAATTTTCTTTATATCCCTGAATTTATAAAACAGTAATTATAGTAAGAAGAAATTCAGTTTCTTGCCCAAATTGTCAGTCAAGAAGTTAGGTGTTTTCTTTGCTTCATCTTTAAGGTTTTCTGTTTAGTTTTGATTAAGGATAAACTATAAAGAAGACATATAAACATATTTCTTGGCATTCATTATATCTTACAAAATCTGTTTTTGTTGCAAAACAGAAGTTGGAAAGAAAACTTAAAGACAGTTTAAACATTGTGTATCTTTCTCCTTATGTATGTCCTATCGACCTTGCTGGTTACTAGCACCTATGCTTATAGTTACTAGTTGGTTTTCTTTGAACACATTCTATTCTACAATTACTCACCAATGGTCATTTGCCTGTTTTTTTTCCTTTTAAATGTTATCCGTTTTGCTTTTACCTGTATATGGTTTCTGCACCTACATTTTGCAAAGTTGCCTTTGATTTGATGGCTTAAATGCAGTAGACATATTACTGCTAAGTATAACCATTTTTCATAGATTTGGTCTGCCAGTCTTTTTCATGGGAGGGCTAGTTCCTTGTCAGAATAAAGCACCTTCGAGAATGATTTTAAGTGTTTATTACTGTGGCTGTAAAGTTATATTCTATTGTACCAGCCTCACCTTGATATATTTTTTTAATCCTTATAGGAAAGTAAATCACAGAAATTTAAAAATTAAGAAAACCTAAAAGTGAGCATGCATAGAAGTTTACATTTAAACTTTTAAAATTTTGGTTTTAAGTCTGCCTTGATACAGATTTGCATCATTTCTTCAAGAAAATATCATTGAAAATTAAAATGACTCTTAATAAACTGAGATTTGTTCTCAGGATTTTTTTTTTGTACTTAGGTGTCACCTGTTGGCAACATGTAAAATAAAATTTAAAAAGATTTTAAGTCAGTTAAACTTTACTGAGTGTCTAGGTATTATTTATTTAATATGTGAAATCAAATTCATGTGTGTATATCCAAGTAGAAATTTCTACGTTATCCACCTAACATTTGAAATAAGCACTGCTTATTATGAAATAATTAATTTATAGGCTAATCACGTTGTATATGTATTTCACGAATGTGCTCAACGCCCAGGATAACAAAAGCAATCCTGCACTGTGGTAGCCATTTCAGACGTTTAAGATGTGACATCGGAAAATCAAGGTTCCTCATCAGCTGCCCACTCTACTTGGACCATGTACTTAATACGTCATAAACTTTTAATGTCTCCTTCATTCACAGCTCACATTAAGAGCCCTTACATCTGATTTTTAACACAGAGAATAAATCAAAGTTTTGCGATTAAAATTTAGCCAATAGAGCCATTTTGTAGTTACAGAAGTTTAATAGTGTCCTTTTATGTAGAGATAAGGTCTGCTTATCGGTTCTTAAAAGTATTTTCTAAATCGCTTAATTTTGAATATTTGCAGTTATTTAATTAGCATGCTTTGCTGATTTTCTTTTCCGTTTAATGGAGCAACACTGTATCATCATTCTTTTCACTGCTCTCTCATAGGCTCATGATCGTTCAGAAAGTGGAGAATTAGCATTTATTAAACAGCTAGTTCGAAAGATCCTAATTGTTATTGCCCGCCCTGCTCGGTTATTAGAGTGCCTGGTAAGTTGCATCTACATGTGACTCTGTTATTTATTGTTAACTGTGGGAAAATAGTGGCCACCAGAAGGTTCCAGTTTCATTTGGCTTCAAACCCCAGAGCTAAATGGAAAGAGGAACTACAGCTCATGAATGTTCAGGATGGCATCCATGCATGAGTTTTCTTTTCTGGTTTTAAGTAAGAATTCTAGGACTTGAGCTGTATTAGTGATAGTTATATCACATTCTGGTCAAACTTGAAAAATGATCATGAAATAATGTGCGTGGCCCTATCTCAGCATCCTTACTGTGTTACAGCTAATTAGAACACCTGCTGTGCTGCACGCCTCTGGAGTTCCCAAGGTGTAGAGAGGGAAATCAGAGATGTGAGAAATGGTGACCTGTGGTTAGAATTATTATTTATATGTAAAATGTGGCGTGTTGGACATGAGTGCTAGTTAGCAGCCCCTTTGGGAGAATACAGTAGGCCTCATCCAGACCTGAAGGGATGAGACTTTCAAGGATAAGTTTATTTTATCAATTATATTTTCTTTAATCAGTGATCAGACTCTTGTTTTGAAGTTTTTCTTTATTTTATGGAATTTTGATTGAGACTTCTACTCAACACTGTGAACAAATCTGAAGCTTTCAACATAAGAATACTCTTAAGGGACTTAGCATAGTATCGAAACTCACTTTTAAGTTTCACTAGCCATTAAAGTATTTATACTGTGTACAATACAGCTTTGCAGGATTTTACATACACCCATACCCTTACGTATATGGTGGTATTGCTTTGGTTTTTGCTCTTATTTTAATTAACACTCATAGCTTTTTATAACACTGAAATGTTCACAGCCCCATCAATATATACCAACACATAGCGAGACGTGGAGGAGGAAAATCCTGAGGAGGAAGGTAGGGGCGGGGAGGGGTGGGGCTTTCCCTCAAAGGCCAGGACCCTCAGGATCACAGGATCAAAGGCAGCATTTGGCATTGTGTGTCTCTGACACTCTGGATGCCTTTGGGGAGGAAAACTGTGTGACTGGCGAATGCAGGCAGAAGGAAGACTCACTTTTCATTGCTTTTCCCATTGCACCTTTTGAATTATGCACCACAGCCTTGTCCTTCCTGCATTTTGATTTGGGAGAAAATACCATTTAGCATTAGAACTTATTTCTCTAGACAGCAGCAGATACGCTAAGAGAAGATCTTGCCTTGAAAGAGGAAATGACTTTCTTGCAGTAATCACTCCTAATCAGAGGAGAAAAAGTAAAAGTATAACCTCTCAAAGACAGAAACCAGTGAACTTAGAAGCAGATGGGCAAGTGTTGCTGCTTTCGGCAAGGTTTAAAGTTCTTTAAAGCTTTACCCCATTTGCAGCGTGCCTTTTTATATGGCCTTTAGAAACTCCTGAGTAATTCTCCAGTGAAACGCTGAGATTCCCAAGTTGCATATTTGGAGCACTAATCAAAATGGGAAAAATCCTGAGGGGGAAAAGAAAAGCTAGGAAATATAACTGCAAATAGCACCTGTGCTTTAAATCTACAGGCATAATTGTTTACAACACTCAAATCCACGGCATCTTTCTAGAGTAATGTGATCGTAAAGATTTTTGTTACATATTAGAAGCGACAGTCAAAGAAAGCAAAATACTTAGGAAAAATGTATTAGCAAATTTTTACAGGAGACAGAGGTAATTGGAGGCACTAATGTCACATTTTTTCTTCATCTTCACATTATGTGAGTATGAATAACTTAATTTTAGAGTTTACTGATAAAAGTGGTAATTTTGAGATTTTTCTGTCTAATCTTTATGGGCACCTCTGTACTAAGGAAGTCTCCTGCAAAACGTGTGAGAAAATGTAATCCTAACATTACTCCTCTTGTGGCTGTTTGTGCAGAGATAGAAACTGAATCTTCTGGATGAGATTCACAGATTTTTAAAATTTTGCTCAAAAGGCACAATTAATATATTCAGACCTGCTCATTTTCAGTAAGGTGGGCAGCTCAAGTGGAGCATAGTACCTTCACGTTGCCTTACAAGGAAATTGGAAATTGTCCTTGTCTTTGGGTTACCAAGTGCATAAATGTATTGCTTTAGAATATAAATAGGCTTTGAATAGGAAGTGAGAATTATATACTTTTTAAGTGAAGAAAGCCATTTGCCTCCTTTCTGCATAAATAACCCACAACCATGTATAGCCAGCAATTTTATTATGAGTGGAATTTATGTAATAAAACCTCAAAGAATTTTGGCTCAAAGAAGTATCCATCTGTGTTTGTCTTCTGCAGGAATTTGATCCTGAAGAATTTTACTACCTATTGGAAGCAGCAGAAGGCCATGCAAAAGAAGGACAGGGTATTAAGACCGACATTCCCAGGTACATCATTAGCCAGCTGGGGCTCAATAAAGATCCCTTGGAAGGTGAGTACCTTGGTTGGGCTGACCTTCTTCTTGCTTGCTTACACACCAGGGCCTCATTGAAGAACTATGTGGCAAGTCTTCATTTTTTCCTCATGTTTTGGCTCTATCTATTGAGAAGTCCAAATTTGGGGGCCAGTTGTGATTTGAAGGAAAGTGGTATAAGTTGAGTCCTGAGGAGCAAGTGAACATGACCCATTTTGTGTTTACCCTGCATGTGAGGATAGGCCTTGAAATCCTAGAGACCTGTCAGCCTGACAATGCTAGTGTCCCAGAAGGGTTTAGATTTCAATCTTCTCTGAGTATTTCTTCTCTCGGAAAGCTCAGTTGGGTTCTTCTCGAGGGTACTTTTAATTTTGAAAATGTTGCTAAAGAAATTAATTATGATTGATTTAAAAGTGACATTTAAATTTAAAGTAATTTGGGAGTGATGTAACTGATGATAGATTACTTTAAATCAGGTGCAATGTTGGTAGATATGTTTTTGCTTAATTGTCCCAAAAAAGTATGAAAAATAAGAATAACACAGGAGAGCCAGTCCTGGAGGGGAATTTTTTTAAAGCTTATAAAAGGATTTATGGTTGATGCAGATGAAAAAAAATAGGTCTAATGCTGTTAAATACAAAGAAGAGGAAGCACCCTGTTAGTGATTTTTTAAAAATCTAATATTAGGAAACCACTGCCCTTCCCCCGACCTTTTCCTGTTCATTATTGTTTGGGATTGTCATTTGAAACATTGAGGTTATATACTGCCTTAAAAGACTCAAAAGCAATCATAGACTCCTTCATTCAAAATTGTCTTCCTGGTTCATTAAATTGAATATTTGCAAACCGTGTTTATCTTGCTAAATTGTAATGAGGGTAACTGTTGGCGCAGCTATTCTCCGTCTAAAGCTGGGAAACCTGCTGCTCTCGGCCCTGCGCTCCTATTTCCCCTGCTTTCTTCGCTCTTAGGGCCATGGGATCTTTGCTTCCAGTGAAATGATGCATGCATTACTGGGAGATAATGCCAGATAAATTTATACTGTACTGAAAGCAATACCACAACAGATTCATCACTTATCAGAGACTGGTGGCTGCTTTTCTGAAAAGTTCCCTGGGGAGAGATTTTTCCCCATGGCTTTTAAATTACCATCTTTACCTTTTTGAATCAGGAGTCTTCAGAAATGGTTTAAATCAATGAAATAAAAAGGGCAGATGTTTAATGGTATTTAGATGAGTTTTAAAAATCTCTTCAGGCATTGCAAAATGATGCCTTAGCTTCCTGCTTCAAAAGCTGACTCTTGGTTCCATTCCATTACTACCCACTGCTTACAAACAATATGTATTTCCCAGATAATAGTTATTTAGCAGAAAGTCTATTTAAAACAGAACCATCTTTTAATTTGTTTTTTTATGAAAATAATTGGAGTGGGGGAGGCTGTCAAAGTGTGTTAGAGTGACTCTTCACGCTCGTGTTGTTAAGGTCGTGTCAGCCCTTGACTTGCAGACCGAGTGAGCTCTTACCCGGCGGCAAGCAGCACTGTAGGCTGAACTTCGGCAGGTGAATAAGCTGAGGCCCGATTATGCACCTTTATAGAGTCTTTAAAAAATAATTAATAGTGAGCTTTGACAAGTTTCAAGTTTAGTAACACAAACTTATCAGTGGGAGTTGCGTTTTTATCTTTTTTTTTTTTAAAGATTTTATTTTTTTCGTTTTTCTCCCCAAAGCCCCCCAGTACATAGTTGTATATTCTTCGTTGTGGGTCCTTCAAGTTGTGGCATGGGGGATGCTGCCTCAGCGTGGTTTGATGAGCAGTGCCATGTCTGCGCCCAGGATTCGAACCAACGAAACACTGGGCCTCCTGCAGCGGAGCGCAAGAACTTAACCACTCGGACACGGGGCCAGCCCCACGTTTTTAACTCTTGACACTTAATTTTCTTGATTCAGATCCAAGGATAGTTTTTAGTCTATTTGTTGTCACTTAAAATGTGATTATTACAAACTCTGATCTACCTTTGTTTCCCCTTCTTGTCAGCCTCGACACTGACATACCTAAAGCCTGACCCGTGAAGGTTAGGAGTGAGGGTCTGGAGGGGGACCACCCAGGACTGCACCCTGGCTCCGAGGCTGGGGGCTGTATGACCTTGACCACGCTGTTGAGGAATCTATTTGTGCCTCAGGGTTCTTCCCGTAAAAATGGGGTAATAATAGTTCCTATTCCTGGAGTTGTTTGCATAACTACCCAAGATGGAGTAATGCTTACTAAATGTTAGCTGCAGTTGCCATTTTATTTAAACAATACTAAAATTGTCCCTTTCCTTAAGAGCCCCTCCAACTGAATACATTTCAGTTCACCTCCTAGTCCATAAATCTGACGTGCCAGTCACGTAGGATGTTGACATCATTTGAATGACACCAAGAAAGCACAGAGTTTGTACCGAGCTCGTGTTTGTTTTTGAACTTCCCCTACAGGTAAACTGGCAAAGTTAGTGTCAGTTTCCAGTTATTTTAGAATCTGGAGTTTGTTAATTTTTATCTAAAGGGAGCACTCCAGTGTTTTCCTTTGTATCTTTTATGTGTAAGCTCTCCCAAAAAAGGATGAGCGTACTTATAAGAACATGAATATATGAAATAAGAGCCTTGGAAATAATTTTACGTGCATATAAAAATATGTAACTAAAAACTATAACTTTTTATTATACAGGTTCAGTTTTGAAAAATTAGAAAGTACAAATACCTGTGATCCTACCCCTCAGAGATAACCCCTATCAAAGTTTTGGAGAAAATTCTTTCATGTTCTTTTCTTTAATAAAATATTTTCTTTAAGTATAAAAATCAAAATGAACAGTAAAATGAGTTCAGTTTTCTCATTTCCTGATATAAACTCAAGGATGCATTCCAGCGTGGGCCGAGCCATTAGACACCTGTGTCTCTTTAACTAGTTTCCATGATATAATCAGTAATAGTAAATAACAATCAATATTCAATGAGCGCTTAATTTTTGTTAGTCAACATGCTAAGAGCTTTACATGCGTTATCGTACATTGTACTCATAAAAAGCTGTAAGAGATAAATAATATTGTTCCCATCTTACAGAGGAAGAGCCTGAGGTTAAAAGGTCACTAGTAAGTGCTGATAGTGGGGGTAACCCAAGTCTTTTCATCTCCAAACCCCTCTTAACCACTAGTTTTACTTCCTCTGTGACAAACTGCGAGTTCTTAGCGTCCTAGGCGGGATATCTCAGTGGATATGAAGGAATGAAGGAAGCGATGCTCACCACAGCTTCAGAATCATCTCTGGGCTGTAGCCAGTGCATCTCGGATGCCTGTGAGAGCCTGGGAAGGCTTGCCTCTTTTGGATATGTGATTATAAGCACAGTCCTTGACCCCCCAAACCTTTTCCAAGCTGTGGTGACTGCATCAGCCAGTAAATCCTGCTAGCTGGAGCAGAGGCCCAGTTCTGAAATATCTGTGTTTGGGTGTTCAGGAGAAGGGGTTCCAGGGGAGGACGTGCAATGAGCAATTTACAAATGGCAGTTGCTGGTTCTTGCAATGTTGGATTTAAGATTTTCCCATGGGTACGTTAGAACATAGAGTAAATTTTTCTTTTTTCAATATCGGAGAAATTATTTTTCCTTTGTTTTAGCATAATACTCTTGTATAATTGCAATTGTCCTATGTTTCTTAATCTTCGAATTTTCTTTTTTTTAATAACCTAGAAATGGCTCAGTTGGGAAACTATGATAGTGGGACAGCAGAAACACCAGAAACAGATGAATCAGTGAGTGTAAGTATCTTTCTTGCTGAAATATGATGTTGGTTTTTCTGTTGATTAGCATCTGGAGATTTTGGCTGTGTTAATTACTTTATTTGTTCAATAAATATTTATTATGCTTCTGTGTGCAAGGCACTAAGCATACACTTTTAAAAGCCCCTCCCTTCAAAGGGAAACAAATTAATAAAAAGAAATCACGCACAAAAAATAAAAATGGTAAGTTTAAATAAGATCTGCTAAGAGGGGGCTGGCTCAGTGGCATAGTGGTTAAGTTCAATGCACTCCGCTTCCGCCACCCAGGGTTTGCCCATTCAGATCCTGGGTGCAGACCTACAGACTGCTCATCAAGCCATGCTGTGGCGGTGTCCCACATAGAGGAACTGGAATGACTTACAACTGTGTACTGGGCCTTTGGGGAGAAAAAAAAAGAGAGAAAGTTTGGCAACAGATGTTAGCTCAGGGCCAATCTTCCTCACCAAAAAAAAAAAAAAAAAAAGATCTACAAAGAAAAAAGGCCATGTGCTATTAGAACACAACATAAAGAGATTTACCATAGTCTTGCCAGTCCAAGAAGATCTCCAGAGGAACTGACGCTTGAGCAGAGATGTGAGAAGTTACTGAAATGAGAAGGGGCAGAGGGAATATTCCAGGCCAAGGGAATGTCATGGGCAAAGACTGTGACACTGGGAGCAGAGTGCCTCTGAGGGCTGAGAGCAAGGGAGACCATAGAGACTGGAGATCTTGAATGAAAACTGGACACAAAGGTCTTCCTTGTTCATCTTTGTCAATTTTTTTCTTTAAAGAACAGTAGAAAAGCTGTTGAGCTTTGGAGGAAGTATGTTTTTATGTGGGGTGAAGGGGTAGTGGGCCGGGAGATGATTCAGTCAGAGTTCTGACTTGAAAAACACCACGTTGATTGCAGTGTAGAAAGTAGATCAGATGAGGGGAGCGTGCACGGGTGACCATGGGGAAGCCAGCAAAGAGGCTGCTGCAGTGGCACAGGTGAAAAGTCCTGGATGCTGGTGTCTCTCTCCCTGGTTGTGAACACCAGCAGAGGAACCAGGACGGAGCAGGTGGGGTGGTCAGGAAGGAGGGGCAGCTGTGTAGCCTGGGGCTAAGAACCAGGCTCTGGAGTCAGAGTGCCTCGATTTGAAACCTGGCTCTGCTGGCTCTCTTACCAGCTGTGGGATCTCTCTGTGGGATGTCACCTGTAAAACAGAAATAAAAGATTAAATGAGGACGTGCAACTAACTATGTACTGGGGGGATTTGGGGAGATAAAGCAGAAAAAAAAAAAAGATTGGCAACAGTTGTTAGCTCAGGTGCTGATCTTTAAAGAAAAAAGATTGGCAACAGTTGTTAGCTCAGGTGCTGATCTTTAAAGAAAAAAGATTGGTAACAGTTGTTAGCTCAGGTGCCAATCTTTAACAAAAAAAGATTAAACCAGATAGTCTGTGAAAAATGGTGAGGACAGCACCACATAGTGAATGCTAAATAAACGATAGCTGTTTTTGTTAATTCCATTATCAAAAACTGGTGTGATTTTGAATGTGTTGAGACTGAAGTTCCTTTGAGACATTCAAGAGCCATCAAACTGGCATGTATATAAGGCATGGTATCTTCTGGCGTTCAGAGGGGGAGTTTTGGGTGGAGGTCTAAAGGACTTGGGAGTCATCCGTGGGTATAAATGAGGACACTCGGGTCAGGAAGAGTAAGAGGGCAGGGCCTTTCCGCCCAAGCTGTGGAAGAGCACTGGGAGCGGCTGAACAAGTAAATGGGCCCAGTCTTGAATTACTACGTTTTCTGATACGGAACATTGGCAGGTAATGACTACATCCAGGTCCTGTGGCCAATGGCCAAAGGGAAGTAGAGGCAAGAGATAGTTGGTTAGAGCTGAGCAAGTCAAGTAGCCCAGAGGCCAAGGTGTTTGGTGAATTATCTGTGTAGACACTGAAGTCACCTAGGATGGTGAGAGATACATGCAGAAAGGAAAGTGGGAAGCTGGGTACCCAAATCTTCCAAAGATGAATTGATGACAAGGTCAGTGATGACAGCACTGAATAGGAGAGGATGGCACATACCTCTGGGTCATAGGGTTTCTTCCAAAATTATAGGAAGGGAATTCTGAGCTCTGCTGAGGTAGCAAAGGGGCTGTTAATACCCACTCAGTGCTAAGATACATGGGATTCCAAAATTTTGTTTTTTGTTCTGTTTGTGAGGAAGATTGGCCCTGAGCTAACATCTGTGCCAATTTTCCTCTATTTTATGTGGGATGCCGCCTCAGCATGGCTTGACAAGCAGTGCTAGGTCCATGCCTGGGATCCGAACCCGTGAACCCCAGGCTGCTGAAGTGGAGCACATGAACTTAACTGCTATGTCACTGGGCTGGCCACCAGAGAATTTGCTTTTAAGAAAACATTTTATTTATTCTTGTCCTTTGAGCTAAACGTTTTAAAGAGCTATCATTTTGGAAATTGATATATAAACTATGGTAAGATTTATGTTATGGAAGTACTGAAGAGCAGGCCTTCGGTGGGTGTCTCATTCATTGCAGACTGCCTTTTCCAAACAAGAAAGATGGCCGCAGGATGAAATAGACATGCTCTGCTGAGGGCCAGAGAAGCCCCATCATCCACCAGCCCACAAATAGCCACTTTAGCTCATTCTTTTCTGGCCAACTGAAACAAGAAGGAAGTCTGGCATTTTGGACTTAAATCTCGAAACTTTAAAAGACTAGATGAGGCTAACCTGAATAGTTTACAGAAGTAAATTAAAATTAGGAATTTTCAGAAGCTTGGTGCCTTTATCTCCTGGGAGTAGGGGCTCACTTACATGCAAATGAGACACTGTCGTGAGTAGTTGATCAGCCCTGCTCTGGAAAACTGGTCTTGACAGCTGTCCCCTGGGTTCTGTTGGCTAGAATACTGCCCTTTGCCATATTAAACAGCACAGCATGTAGTTCAAGTATTATTTATTTTGCCGTTAAAATCATTTTCTTAGATTCTCAACTATTTTTTAACTTTCGTGTTTTGTTTCCAAGAGCTCTAATACTTCCCTGAAACTTCGACGGAAACCTCGCGAAAGTGATTTTGAAACGATTAAATTGATTAGTAATGGAGCCTATGGGTGAGTCATTCAAGAAAATTCTCTGCTGTATTTTAACACACCTGAGTGACAACCTTCTTCACATTTATCTTATGCCAAATAGATGTTGTTAGGGACTTGAGTTTTCAGATGACTGCGCCTTCGTTGATGGGTTTAATGTGCAGCCAAAATCATTTTTCATTGGATGCTCCGTCAGAAAACATATCAAGTGACCTGGGGGGGATTTTAGAGGGTTGGAGAGGAAAACTTTATAAAGTAAAGGAAAACTTATAAAGTAAGGTAAAAATTTATAAAGTAAAGGAAAATTTTTATATATGCCTGTTTCTACCACCTTTATTCTGCCCTTTTGGGTCCATAAGTTGATATGAGAGAGATATATATGACATGCATTTATACGTATATATGTGTGGATGCATATGCATAGATACATACACACACATCTGGATATATATAATATATACTCTGAATATATACAAATTTATATGTAGCATTACTACTTGAGAATTAGCCTGTCTAATTCCCCTCTGACCAACAGTCAGCCTTTGAGAGAAGTACTTAAATAAGAGGCTGGTTGAAAATTTAGAGCAATACAGTTCTTTTATCCTTCATATTACAGCAGAATTTTTTTTCAATTGAACTTTGTACTATAATCTGATCACATGAGTGGCACTACTTCTTTGATCCATTTTTATAGACATGATTTCCTTCTCAGGCCATAGGGTCAATAGTGACAAGATCCTTCTGAGTTACTAATAAATAGTTTGGAAGGGTAATTAATACACAAACTATGTCCTGATCCATTTTAGACAGACTATGAACTCTAGTTTAATTAAATATTAATCCCAATTCATCTGTATATGGAGAGCGATAAACAATCCCATAGACGTTTGTTGCCATTTATCGCGCATGTGAGCAGATGAGATAAAAGAGATTTTTGTTGTGCCATAAGGGATATTTCTCCTTACGATTTTTTTTTGCCTCTAATATTTTCCACACCATTGACATAGTGAAGAATTTAAATATTTGTGAGTCCTTTCTGTGTTTCACTGATTTGTTTTCAGCATCCTATCAAATGGCATATTTCCTGCTGTGGCTTATAGTGCTTTCTGATGTTTTACTTTTACAAGACTTTATTCAAGGACCTCATTGAAACTTCTCTACCTAAGGAATTGTTTTAGCATGTAATTGTTTGTAGGTTTTATATGTTTATTATTTATTTTCAGTTCTTTTTAGTTTTGGAGATCATCGGAGGAGCTCTTCCTTCATTAGGGAGAAGACCAAATGTTGCTTTAATAGATCTGTGGGTTTGAGCACTGCCTGATTTTATTGGTGGTGGAATTCTGGAATAAGATTATCTGTGAAGCACCACTCTTATAAAACTTGGACATATATCTTAGCAGTATTTGGAGTTCTAATTGGTTGAGTAAACTCATTTGTAGTGCAATTAAACCGCTGTCTAGTAGATGAGGTGTATCACACTTTGGGGAACGGTTGGGAATATACAAGAAGTTAAACAAGCTGTGAATCAGTAAACACCCAGGACGCAGGCCAAGTCATTAATGGGCTCATGAGCTGCCTGCGGGAGCTTCTGCCTATCAGGCAAAACTATTTTTTCTCTTTTGCTCTTCTCAGATTTAGTCTCTTGTTACATTTCTGACAGATTTCCTCTACATATTAATTATTTTTTACTTAAAATCTGAATGGAGCTACACCCATTGGCCCACCCAGTTAAGATGCTGATTACAGGCTTATGTCAACTGGCTGAACAAGTGGCTCCCTCTATGGGTAGATGAGCTGGGGCTGCTAGAGGCTTTTGTAGGCATCTGTGTGACAGCGTCTACTGCTCATGTCAGTAACTCCGAGTGACACTGATTCTGTGACGATGCTGGGAACGAACCCTCTCATTAGGAAGAGTGTCTCCCGGTTGTGCTAAAACACGTCATGGTTTTCTCAACATCATGCTTAGTGATAATTCACGTTATAAAGCCAATTTGCTCATTTGATAAGCATCTGATTTCCTTCTCTGTTTAACACATTTTGGATCCCTGACTGGAGGCTCCACATCCCTTCAGGCCCACTTAGCACTCTGTGGAAAGCTAGCACTTCCTGTGTGCCAGGCACTGTGCTAGTGTCTCCATCTACGTTCTCTTCTCACAAGAGCCCCATGTGGTAGTTGATATCTTTCCACTTAGATGTGGGGAAAGACAGACTCAGAGCGTGGTCACAGACACTGATTCCCAGCAGAGCCCCCTTCTCCCTCTAGGTAGCCTTCTGTTTTATAACATGTTTTAAAAGATGTCTTTTAGCCATCTTAATTGGGGTATAGAGGTCCTTCTTCAGTTGAGCACTAACATCCGGATTTTTAAATTACAACTTCAAGTGTTTTTAAAGGGAAAGAATAAAATTGACTTAAAATTCTAAAAAGTGAAAAACTAAATTTGAAAGGCACAGCGTTTCTCCCCCACGTTTCTCTCTTTCGCTGTACCCTCAGAGGACAGGGTCGCTTACCTGACAGACCATGTGTGCCAGTTGATGCAGGCCCCTCCGGCACCCTCTCTCGTGTGGCCTTCCTCTCGGCTTTCCTGGTGCAGCCGCACTCTCGTTCCCACATGCAGATTTGCTTGCACAGATTCATGTCCTGGGCCCTCAGATTCATGCATAATTTTATACGCATTTGCTGTTCACACTCCCGATAGGACTGATTCGCTCTGCTCTAGATCCTGTCAGCTTCTGGCCCCATTCCTCCCCGCCCCCCACCCCTCACTTCTGCATGTCTGTAGTAGCGCGTGGCTCAGAGAGAACAGAGCCCCTGGTTGCCCCCTCCCTGAATCACCTCCCGCCCTTGCGTTTTCCTATGTCACAGGGAGGTCACTGTAGAAAAAGATAGACAGAAGCAGCCTTTTCAAAGAAAACAAGCCTTGGGACTGGAAAGGAGAGACATGTGGGGCTGAATCAGTTCAGTCCAGTTTTATAACTTGGGAGGTTTACAGCTCTGCTTAACAGTGTTAGATGTCTGTCTGTTGGCTGCTGTTTGTCTCTCTCTCTTTTTCAATCTCTCTCTCTCTCTGGTGACTTAAGTAGATTTGGAACATTGACTTACAGGAAAGGAGGAGAGGTGCATGTGAGAGACAACAATTATTACTAAATAAACAAATTTCAGCATTAAGAATAATATTCCCAAAGCAGTACAAAAATGTGAAAAATGAATAACATAAAGGAAAACAAACAAACAAAAATCCAGCTACAGCCAATTCTAATTAAGAAGTCTAGTTGACTTTTACATCTTGATCAAGATAAGTGTATCCCGAGGCAGTGATATCTCAATCTACCTGTGGGATTAATTCCAATTGGTTTAGGTAAATTTTTCTAAAGATTAACTGATTATTACTAAGTATATCATGGCAGGGGAAAGCAGAATGTCCACTCAACTTTTATGAACTAAAAATCTGAGAATAAATGTTGAAGCCTTTTTTTACACAGTGCACCAAGGAATCTGGTCTGGGTCCTGGTCAAATTGGGCCTGAGGCATCTTTCTCTTTTGTTTTTTCATAAAATTGTGTATAAATCTGTTCTCCTTCCTCCACTTCCTGTTGTTCTCAGACAGAATGCTGAGCAGTTATTTACGTAAGAAATGGTGACGCTTGATTGAAAATCAAAATAGCAACCTTCTGATAGTAAAAGTAAAGTTCATAATATCGTCTGTCTGAGGGTCCTCAGCACTAAACTCACTCAATATTCAATATTGAAAAAGGTGGAAAGTAAGCTGTATTCTGTTGACTGTCCAGAACAGGAGTGGGGCTGGCCCTGTGGCCAAGTGGTTAAGTTTGCATGCTCCACTTTGGCAGTCCAAAGTTCACCAGTTCGGATCCTGGGCACAGACCTACACACTGCTCATCAAGTCTTGCTGTGGCAGCATCCCGCACAGAAGAGCTACAGAGAATGACGTACAACTAGGATATACAACTATGTACTGGGGCTTTGTGGAGGAAAAAAAGAGGAAGATTGGCAATGCATGTTAGCTCAGGGCCAATCTTCCTCACCAAAAAAAAAAAAAAAAACAGGCGAGTGATTATATAAAGACACTTATTTTCCTTTTAACATTTGAATTCTGAATTTCATTTTAAAAAATAGATTCTCTATTTCAAAAATCCCTCTTCCTGATATTTGTTCATATTGTTTGTCTTGTATTTTCTGTGCTCCCTTCATGTCTGTCTGTCCTTCTGCCATCACCTTGTTATGAGAAGCTCAGTTTTCTTTGGACCTTGATTTTATCCAATCAGCAATTGGAAAAAGAAAAATACTATTGTAAAAACCTTTAATTTGATTTATAAAGAATGATTAGTTGGTTAATTAAAAAGTTGGTTAAAGTAGGAAATCATAAAAAAAGATATATACTTTAAATATTTTAATTTAACCTAAGTATACATAAATTTACTAGTCTTTTGATGTAAGGCCTTTTTAAGACAGCCAATATAAACCATACTTATAATACATTGTTTCTGTTTTCCCATTTTAGCTTCTTTAAAGTTGAAGAAGAATTTGAAGTAATCTGAATGTAGGAATTTACATTTTTATTATTTTCTCAAGTCTTGGAAATCTCACCCATTCTAAAACAATGGGGATTGTATTTAGTAACTCACATTTATCAATACTTTCCAAAGCATTCCATTTAGTTTTCTTATAAACGATGCTTTCCCTTTTCATACTCATGTTTCATCAGTTTAAACGTTTGTTTAATTTAGTTACTCATGATATCAAGCCTAGCCAGGAAAACGATGTGGAAATAAACC